GCGCCTCCCACCCTCGTGGCCAGGTGGGTCCCCCTCTGATGTACTTCTTCCGCTCAATATTTTTTATTATTTCCAAAAATGACTTTCGTGGAGTTTGAGGACTTCTGGAGTTGTGCAGAATAGGTCTCTAATATTTGCTCCTTTTCCAGCCCAGAATTCCAGCTGCCGGCATTCTCCCTCCTTATGTAAACCCTGTAAAATAAGAGAGAATATGCATAAGTATTGTGACATAACGAGTAATAACATCTCATAATGCAATAAATATCCATGTAAAAGCATGATGCAAAATGTACGTATCATGAGGCAGGGGGCTTTCTCTCTCTCTCCTCTGCTTTTTCTTTCTTTTAGTTTTTCTTTTTATTTTCAGCAGCTTTTGCATTTTATTTTTGGCCAATAATGACTTTGCAAAATTATGCCATTGGCCAAAACAACTTCAAAGAATTAAAGTGCACTGCCACAAAAAGGTTGGGAGGCTTTTGGAATAGTTGCCAATTTTATATAAATTAAAAAGGGCATTTAATTTATTGCTTAGGTCACTGTTTTAAGTAGTTTAGGCCACTTAAACCCTTTGCAAAAATGTTGGTTCACCAATATATTAGTTGTGGAATATTTGGCACATGATGAACATTTTTGTTTTCATGTTTGAGAAATTTTGAATTTCACTTAGCATTTGAAATTGCCTTCAAAGGGGAAGTTGAAAGAAACATGAGATAATAATGATCAGACACATGTTCAGCAAAAAGATTAACTTAACCCCAGGGGTTACTGTAGCATCATTACACCGAGGTGTTACAAGTGCTAATATGGAAACTCATGGTGATGACTTAGGCAACAGTAGTGATGTCCTCGTAGTATCATACATGTGATCAAGCAAAAGAGAAGTGTGGATGTTGGATTCAGCTAGCTCATTCCATGCGACACCCAACATGGAGTGGTTCTCTTCATACAAGTTTGGAAGTTTCGTTTGGCCTATGTGGGTGATGAAACAAGTTATCGTGTTGCTGGAGTAGGTGACATCAAAATCAAGATGTTTGATGAAGTTGTTCGGATGCTTCTAGGAGTCAGGCATGTGCCAGGGCTAAGGAGGAATCTAATTTTGTTTGGAGTTCTTCATGATGGTGGTATGGTATTCCATTGTGGTCGGGATAAGAAGACCATGAAAAACATGGAAGGTGAGGTGACCGTGATGATGGGAGAGAATATGGCTTCACATCTTCACAAGTTCCAAGGGAGCACTATCGCAGGTGGAGTCATGGAGACTGTAGTTGCAAGAGTAGCAGCAGGGTCCCACAGAGGTGGTGGGTCTAGGCAGGCTCGTCGAGTAGCTCTACGTAAGATAGGAAGAAGACAACCCAAGTCCATAATACATGGAAGTTTGATGCATGGATGAATTCAAGGTGGTGGAGAATATTCGCTAAGATAGAGTTTCTTCTGTATGTGTATATTGTGTATGAATCGAGTTATGTTTAGACTTGGTGTTGTAGTAGGTAGGATACGTGTAGTGTTACTTGTAGTGTTGGAGTCGGATACGTTGTGCTCTTGGCCTCTTATACATGATGAGGCACCCCAAGTTGTAACCCATAACCACTAGATAGTGACAGGAATGGAGGGGAGCCGGTGGCATGTGTCGGCGTCCAGGGCAGCCAGTGTTACGATATCTTTGGGAGGAGCGCCCGTAATCATTGCCCTGGAGAGTAGGCGAGTTCGCCTAACCTCGTTAAAAATCTCGATGTCATCATCATGTTGTGATAGCTTATTCCTCGTGGATCGGTCGTGTACCTCAGATTAATTCTAACACCCTGCTATCTCTGGAGCTCCTCGTGGGATGTATTCCTCCTCACGGCGGCCGCATCTCTCTGCCCCTCTAACTACCGGCAGACCCTCATCTGTCAGTCGACCGGGCTCGGCCTTCGCGCATTAGCCCGCCTTTTTCGCTCATAAAGTGCAATGACTGCGAACGGCTGGTGCTGCTCCGGGTCTCCGCGACGCGGAGAACCACCCAAGATGGGTCTTCTACAATTGTGAAAATGGCAAAGTAAGTGCAATATTTTGTGTATGTTCTTCATTTCAAGAAATTTGAGCTCGTTGTTGGCCTAATACTATGCAGAAAGGTTGCAACTTTTGGTATTGCAAAGAAGAATATATTGATTGATTAGGGGAGGTCAATTGGATGTTGATGTACTAGTTGTTAGAGCCACGATCACCGAGGACACAATGTCCAAGTTCTTTATGAGAAGGCAGAGACGAAACAAGTGCGCAGGCCAGAGATGTCAACGGAGAAGGGAAAAGGTGTTGGCAATGAACTTAAAGAGATGAAGAAAGTAATTATTGGACTTGAAGTAGTAGTTAAGGAAGTTGTGTTTCCGTTGAAGCGTGTAATTTTTTTGTCTTTCTGTTTGGATGAGTTCTCCCAGCGAGGAACTGGTGAACTATATGCCCAAAGTATTGTTTAATGACGTAGTTGAGTAGTGAAGCTTTTAGCTCAATGAACGCAAATGAATTTGTGTTAAAAGATTTGGGAAGTTAAGTTTTAAGCTCTGTTATGAACTGTTTTTACTCCTTATATTTGTTTACTCCAGTGAACAACAATATATATATATATATATATATATATAGAAAACATAGGGTGCGTTTGGTTGCCCATAGAATCAGAATAAGGCTTGATGTATGCATCATCGTTTTGGTGTTGAGCTGTTTGATTACCTATGTATGCTATTGGGCTTACATCGCACGATTCTTAAAACACCTCTGGGTGTGGCTCACTGGGAACTGCCAAATCGGCAGTTTCTAGCAAGCGAGACTCAAGAGATGCGAGGAAGCACACATGGGTGGCTCCATGAAAATGTGTTAGCTGTTAATCACCTTATCCCCTCGCCCCCTTCATCCGTCTCTCGTTGCCGCCCGTGCTCGCTGCCCGCGCGCGCACCAGCCGCCGCTGCCCCGCCCCCGTTCACCGCCCCCGCGCGCGCAACAGCCCTTGCTGCTGCCCCGCCCCCACTTGCCGTCGGCACGCCCACGCGACTGCCGCCGCGCGCCCCGCCTGCACTCGCCGCCCCCCGCGCGCAACAGCCACCACTGCCCCGCCCACGCGTCAGCTGCCGCCGTTGCCCTATCCACGCGTCCGCGCTCGCTGCCCGTGCGCC